AATGGATACATACCACTTAGATCTCATTTTTTTTGGTGCAATAATTGTGTTAGACTGACTATACGCGTTCAAATAACTTACGAAAAATACTTGTGTAAGTAAATTTTATGAGTAATGATTTTTATAATATTGTTTGAAGAAAATTAAAGCTATTATTTCTTGTGTTGGAATAAGAAGACTTTGAATAAAAAAAAATATATATATATATATATATTTTTTTTTATTCAAAGTCTTCTTATTCCAACACAAGAAATAATAGCTTTAATTTTCTTCAAACAATATTATAAAAATCATTACTCATAAAATTTACTTACACAAGTATTTTTCGTAAGTTATTTGAACGCGTATAGTCAGTCTAACACAATTATTGCACCAAAAAAAATGAGATCTAAGTGGTATGTATCCATTCGAGACTCTTCTTATCTATCACAAGTGATAATAGGTTATTTAATTTTCGCTTAAAATATATCAAAAAATTATGTTATCTTACTTAACTAAATACTGTTATAAAGAATTTAAAGAGGTAACAAAACAAAAAAATTTAATTTAAATAAAAATTTTTTACGTAAAAACACTTGACAACTGCTAGAATAACATATTAAAAACAATAAAAGATACGTATAATTTAATCTGAGTATTGCATTGAATAAAAACAAATTTTACTGTTTAGCATTTGTACTTCTGTAAGATATATCTGTACTTCTAAAAAGTACAGATGTGTATATTACATATAATAAAATTTATACCAAATAAGTACTAAATAAGCGCATACTTATATTAAACTATAGAAAACATACTATAAAGCTCACTGACTAGACTGTAGTTTGGTGCGCAGATGAAGACTGAATAGATCCTCTCCTAGAACTTAAAGGGTCTGCAACCTTGTCTTTTGTTTCTGTATGGGTCGCTGTATACCTGCTATACAAATTTCCTCAATAAACGAAACGACCTCCAAACAGAATTAGTATTTGGCTGTTCTTAGTTCTCGATGGACGTGCCTAGTTAATGTGAAAATATTAAAAATTTCGCTATTAAAAGTACTCTAAAAATGGAAGAAAGATGCGATAAATCGCTATCGGAGTTAGGGACAACTAGGTGCGTTCAGCATTGCAAATTGGAGGCGTCCGTTTGCTCTTCTACCTCGAAAATCGTTCGGCAACTCGCATCTTTCTGCTATATGTCATCTCATCTGCGTTCGATATTAACATTTCTAGAGCCAATCGAACTACTCGATCCATTCCAGATTCAAAGACCAAATTCGCAGAGCTAATGCAGATTTTCGCGCCTAAATTAAATTCATAACCTGTATATTTATAATATAATAATGCTATCAAATAGAAATTGATGGAATATATTATGTACAATATTTAATGAGGAAAGTAAATTTTTAATTTTTTTCCTCTTTATAATATATTAAAGACTAACGAATATAAATCAAGTGATATAACTTATAAGTTGCAGAAGTTTATTTTGCAATGTAGTGTTTTCTTTTAAGAAAATACACCTTACATATGAGTCTGCTACATTCATATGTAACGATTTATTTATAGTATATAAGACTATTATCAGTTTCTAATAAAGCGAAAGAAATTTTCAATTAATAGGGTATTTTTTATTTATTCATAAAAATAAACAATTTCATTTTATAATCTAACCTTAAAGGACAGTTTAAAGCTCTGTAACGTTCGGAATTAATTCTTGGCACTCGGATTGTTCAAAGATCAACGCACCTACTGTTATTGTTGAATGTGGAATAAAAACTTTAAGAGATGCGAGTGCTGAAAGGAATGATGGAAAAATTGAAAACTTACGTAGTGTCAGTTCCCTTAAAATTCATGTGCAGTGCCATAAGGAGTATACTCAAAAGAGTAGCATTTTGGCTCCCAAAAGAAATGCAGAAGCCAGTACGTTTGCGATTAGTCCACCTCGAAATGGAATGTGTTCCAGTGAACCAATTTTCGATTTTAAAGAATGCTGTATATTTTGTGATGAGGAAGCAAGTGAACAGAGAGAAACGAAGAAAAGTAGAAACGAAGAAAGTCGTCGGAAAATTAAACACGTTTCAACACTTTCAGGGACTCAATAATCGAAGCAGCGGATAAGCGTGGAGATAACCTAGCTAAAGCTATTAAAAGGCGGATTATTTATGAGCACAACTTGGTGCAAAGCAATGGCCAAGTATCATAATGATTGCTATATTTCCTTCATCAAATTTAATAAAGGAGGAAAGGTTGGTCGTCCTGAAGAAAAGGATATAATATTAGCAATGGAAGATATATTTGTTTATATTGAAAATCATGACTGTCAATTCACTTTAACGGAATTGAAAAGTATCTATAAAGATTTCATCCCTGATAAAAAAAACTATTAAGAAGCTTTTACAGAGATACAGAAAAAAAATTATCATTACAACGAAAAGCAGGAGTTCAACAATTATTTATGTTATTTCAAAAATTGTAAGATGCTAACATTAATGTGAAACAAGGTTGATACTGATATTCTCATTGAAACAGCACTTAAACAGACTAATACAAATAACAGCATTATTGTTGGCGAAGATATTGATTTATTAGTACTTCTAATAGTAAATATATACTCCTACTGATAAAAAAATATATTAAACCCGGAAAATCCAATGTTAAAACAAAAATATATTCTTCAAAAAGTTTTGACTTGTACATAAAAAGTAAATATCATATTCTATTTTTACATGCAATCAGACACAGAATGTGATACATAAGTTTTATTCAAAATGAATGCTTTAAAAATGTTAGAGAAACGTAAAGATTTCAGAAAATGCTGCAGAAATTTTCAAAAAAGAAAAATGTTTGCTACAATTAATTTTTAAAAATAGAATCTGCTATTATTATATTTGGAAGTCTAGCAGTGCCAAGTGTTTTTACGTGAAATTTTTTATGTACATTAAATTTTTGTTATTCTGTTACCTTTTTAAATTCTTTATAATACTTTAGTTAAGTAAGGTAACATAACTTTTTGATATAATATTTTGAGCGAAAATTGAATAACCTATTATCACTTGTGATGGACAAGAAGAGTCGAATGGGTACAAAGTATGTACAGTCAGAAACAATGAGGTTGCGATACTTTTCTTTTATGAGTTTAAAAACGTGATCAACTTTAGGATGTGAATCTCTCTTATGTGCAATGAATGAATATGATCGTATGGATCGGATGGATCAAATATGTGTAGCATAAATTTAAATGTTCGCGTGTTGTGCGAAATTCATGAAATATGATGTCAGTAGAGCACATTAGAGAGAAATATAATAATTTAAGAAATATAATAATTTTAATACATAATTTAATAATTAATTAATATAATTTATAATGATAATTTTTATATATAATTAA